TCACCTCCAGGTGGCGCTGTGGGAGGAGCTACAGACTGAAGACAAGAAGAAGAAATGAGTAGAATATTTTATTCCTAAAGAAGTCACCTCTGAAATATTTTCTCTACATTTCTTTAATAAAACTTTAACTATAAACGTTCTTCAGATCTACAGACGACCGACAGATTGTCAGGTTTTCCTCCTGGTTTCACCAGAAGATAAAGTTTAGTGAGAATGTGATGATTCCATCCGACCCGCAGAGGACGGCCGGGGGGGTTGGATCTGGTCTCCTCTGACTCTTTGATCCCAGGTGTGATTCCTGTCCACTCTCTCTGAGCAAGGCACTGAACCCCGTAGTTCCAGCAGGAGGCGCTACAGGGCGATTCCCAAATATTTGCGTCGTCTGTGCAGAGATGCTGCTGAGCAAGGCACTGAGATCCAGCATCGTCGGGTCCTTTGGAACCGAACTAACGATCTTCACCATCGTCTTCCAGCCCATCGGCCAATCAGAGCCTCTCTAAGGTTAAAGAGGAGGCGACGACTCAAACTTCGGGGGAACCGGAGGTCGACTCGGGCGGAAAGGAGGTCGTCTGCAAACAGAGACGTTACTGGTTTTATTACCTTAGAGTTTAGTGCCACTGGTCTAACAGATTCTAAACAGACTGGTTTCTACTGGGACCACTGGTGACTGACGGACTAATGAAACACATTCAGAGGCAGTCAGGAAATAAGGTTAAAATAAAGATGCACTAAGATAACCTGCTTATTGAGATCTTCCACATCCTGAGAAAAACTCACCAGTTTACCTTCCAAAAAAGTTAAAATCAATCCTCTGGACTTTGTTTCCTCGTTTGAAGACGTTTCTCTTCCATCCAGAATCTTTTTCAATTTAAAATGCCCTGCAATGCTCCATTCCTGTCTATGTCTCTGAAAGGGAGGTCGTTAGAGGGAATAGTTGGCCTGGCTGAACAGGTGAGGTCTTTTGTTCTCCTTTAAAGGGGTTGGAGCCTCGATGATAGCGGGAAGGAATCAACTCTATCGCTGCATTGGAGGAACTCCACCCCCCCCTCTGTTTAAGCTTTTTCTTTTATAACATAGATGGCTTCGTTCACGCCCCTCTATAGCCATCTGACTTCTTTGTCCAAAATGTGAACATTCTGGTCCTCAAAAGAAGCTAAAACCAGGCTTTGTTGGGCTGCTGGATAAAACCTGGAACTAAACGCTATTTCTGACATTTTGAACTGAAAAATCATCCTGGATGGAAGAGAAACGTCTTCAGACTTGGAAACAAAGTCCAGATGATTGATTTTTAAACTCTTTGGAATGACTCTGACCTGGATGACTGAGAATCTTAGCTATTGAGCTAATGCTACGTCCTAAACTGAGCAATTCAGGATTGTTTCTTCATGAAAATAAGAAGCTGGTGTATAAATATTAGTATTAGTCTGGATATCATCAACAGTTATAAGCTGTTTTTATACAGTCGCACTATTTGAATCTTATTTGTTTGGGTTAAAACTATTTTTCAAACAAACAAATATAAACAAATGGGGACCCCTTTTTCATCATTCTGCTTCATTCTATCTCTATTCTATCTCTATAGTTCTGCTGCTATAGGCTTAGACTGCTGGAGGACATAGGGACCCCTTTTTCATCATTCTGCTTCATTCTATCTCTATTCTATCTCTATAGTTCTGCTGCTATAGGCTTA